TTAAGCTTGCAATTTTAGTTTTAAAACTGCGTGTTATACGCCGATAAATACGGTAGTAATTGTCACATAATTCTCATATAATTACATACTTGTTTTACAAATTAGAACATTCCTCCAACCCTTATAGGGTGATAGAAAGAAACCACCTGTTCAGGGCCCAGTATGTTTGTGTCTCTCTTGAATTTGGGTCAGGCTAACTGGGTACAGTTTAAAAAAGAACTTGTAGCACGTGCTACGTCTTCTTTATAAGACAATAGATAACCATTCAGCATCATAATATCTCCCTTTCACTGGGATCCCCGGCTTGTAAAATACCTACAGTAGTGTGAGGAGTCTTTTCAGCTGCATATTTCACATGTTTTTACACAATGTTATCTGCTGGGAGGCCTCTGCTAATGGAAACTAACAGCTGGGCACAAAACATCTCATTTGCAAAAACCAGAAGCTGTCATTTTACCTGAAGAAGCTGCTTTCGGAAGATGACTCTGCAAAACCTGCACACCTCCATCAGCCATCGCAGGATCTGATGCTGAATGAGAAATTACACTCTCGATAGAGCCCGGGCTTTTATTAGTTGTTGAAGGCACTTCTCGTTCTAGGGTTTGGGCTTTCTCAGATGGAGCCTGAGGAAAAGGTTGGCCCGGTGATGTGAAATCTTCATTTTCTAAATCCAGTCCTTGCTTAGAAACGTGTCGGCCCGTTGAACGGTTTCCTGAGTCTGGAAGGGGAAAGGTTCCTATGCCACTGTCCAATGTCCTCATTTGGCAGCAGGATTCTAAAAGGTAAAAAGACAGGCTACTTTCAATGGAAAAGGCAGAGCATAACAGAGGGCACCTTGAAGAAAGGGCTTCTGTGTAGAGGACAGAGCTATGGTTCATAGGTTTTGTACATACATCCCTAGCTGGGAGTATTTTAAAATGATATAAGGCCTTTAAAACGGAGGGAAATCATTGCAAGTCAAAGCGAACCGTATTGATCTATCTGTTTATTTTTTATTTATAAGATTTATAAAGCTGCTTGAATCCATAACACCCCAAGGAGGGTTTAAACAATTAAAATAATAAAATAAATAAAGCAGAAAATAAAAAAGGGGTTTGGGAAGGGGAGCCATCCAGGTTAAAAAAACAGTATTCTATAAGAAACCCATCATGCACTTTAACCCAAGGCCTGACGAATAAGCCAAATCTTTGACCAACTTTTAAATGAAAGCAGGGGAGGAGCCATGGGGAATCTCTGGAGAAATGCTGTTCCAGAGCATAGACAAGGCATACTTCCTGGATCCCATCAGATCACTTTGTCTGAGCAATGGGATCTGCAGAAGTCCAAATCTGTCTGATGTAATAGTACAGGCAGAAACTGCTAGAGATAAACAATCCCTCAGGCCCTAGTTCACGGACCAGACCTTGAATTGCATCTGAAGGTTAACTGATGACTACAGCAGCTCACAAAGTATTACATTGTTAAGCAAAGGCGAGCCTTTTACTGCTGTGCCATGACATTCTGAACCAGATGAAGCTTCCAAGTGCTTTTCAAGAGTAGGCAAAGTAAAATATGTGTGAAAGGCTTCCTAGAAACAGCTGACACCTGCTTTTGTGCATTCTGGAAAGCTGCGTGTTTGGAAAAAAACCCAGATTGTGCACCAGTCCTGAATAAGGAAGTGCACTAAAAATGAAGATTCTCCAGGGCCAAATGACCCAAATCACAACAGTTCAACCTTGGCAGAGTTGAGTGTGAGTCTGTTTCTCCTCACCAGCTCCCTCACAGTTCGCAAGCATTGGGAGAAGACTTCTAACAGCATCCCTCAGAGATAGCATACTGATCTATTCCAAAATTGGGTAAGCAAGCAAAAAAGGAATCAGAAAATGACCTAAGTATGACAAAATATTGATAGCAATGTCCTTCCATGTCAAATCACAAAAAACTATATCTATATCATGCCCTTAAAGATTTGGGTCAGAGCTGAGATGGTGCAGTGGTTAGAGTGCAGTACTGCAAGCTACTTCAGCTGACTGCTACCTGCAGTTTGGCAGATCAAATCTCACCAGTTCAAAGTTGACTCAGCCTTCCATCCTTCCGAGGTGAGTAAAATGAGGACCCAGATTGTTGGGGGCAATATGCTGGCTCTGTAAAACGCTTAGAGAGGGCTGTAAAAGCACTATGAAGTGGTATACAAGTCTAAATGCTATTGCTATTGCTAAGTGCTTTGGTGGCCAAGAATAGCCCAAACTCTGATTCACTCAGGGTCATCCCACAGCCTCTATTGAAAGCCTTTTCTTTTTGACAATCTCAGTATCCAACCTATTCAAATAGTGTGGCAGTACAACAAAGCTAAGTACAAAGGACAACAAAATGTCTGTTCTATAACTACCTCTGTCCATTATCTAATAATACCACTAATCCAATTTTAAGTAGAGGCATTGGAAAATAATTGAAGTACAGAGCATATGCAAACCAGGTGTTCCACTTTACTGCCATCTACATTAAAAATTGAAGTAAGGCATGGAGTACAAATTAGTCAGAACTGTTGCATGTTTCATAGCCAGCTTTGGCCTATATGAGTAATACAGATCCAGTGCGTTTCAATATACTCTGAAATTTTATTTTACTTTTTAATTTTATTTATCAAATTTATTTGCTTCCCAATCTTGCCATGGGGCTATTGCGGGCAGCTTATAACAGTAAATGGAAAATAAAAATGATAAAAATGTAAACATAACATTGGTAAAGCAATGAGACAATAAAAATAAGCAACAAAGGTACAATATGAATTAAAATATCGTTGGTGGGGAATATTATAGTATATGGTCCTCAAAGAATCACAAAGCAAGTAAAATGAAGCTTTTGTTAGAGGTATTATCTTTTATTTTTCCTAAGGGACTTTCATAATAGCATTTGCTATTACAGTTATAACTTCACATATGCCTAGAATGACTTTAGTCTAAATAAGACAGGATTAGGCTCTTATTTTTAGAGAAGAAACTCAAAACGCTATCATATAAAGTTATTTTTAACCAGTCCAGTAGCTATCTGGAAATAGATCAATCTGGGATATTTGAGATTTGAGCAAGGACTGTACTCTTCTTACAAAATAAAAATCAAAGCATCCCAATTATTTTAGGCTCACTAAGTTACTCACAGAATTGTAAAATTGGCTTAGGAGACTTCATGAAGTGAAAGATTCACAGAATACACCATAAACCAAACAACTAGTCTATTTCAGGCCACCCAATACATGTTATTCTAGAGACACATATAAATAAATAAAAAGTGTAACTACGCATTCTGAACACTGCTTGCACATAGCAATAGATGGAATTTGTCTAAGTAAGAACAAACAATGGTAAGATTAGGAAAGTATTGGCCTATATCACTCATACCGGGCAATTAACCATCACTATTTCAGCACCATGGATATCTCCTAACTAAAGTTCAAAGTGTGTAAAACAGTTGCTGCAACTTGAATATTTTACAGTATTTTAAAACAGGTTCAACAGTGTAAAATGGTGGATAAATATCTAACTGCAACACCACAAGCACCAAATGATAGTCTCTCTGAAAGCACAAATAAGGAATAATTTTCAGGAATAAGTTTAAATTTTAGTTCCAAAAGGTAGAGAATATTACTAATAGTATTATAGTAATACTATCCTTGACTAATTAGCTTTACAATCTTCCAAGTTGTATTTCTACGTAAGGAGAGAGAAGGTAAAGGGTTGGGGGGGGGTTGCTTTTGGAAATGGACCACTGCCAGATTTAATGAATCAATCTAATTGTACTGCTCTTCCTTGACCCCTCCTCTCTCCATATATTTGTAATGGAATAAAGACCATATACAATGTTTACCATCATTGTACTATTTCAACTACTCACTTTTACAAGATTTATAAAAGGTGGGAACTTTGGATCTATGATTCAAAAAGATAGTTTGTTCTGGAGAGGAAAGAACAACATTCACCAAATAGATAAACAAATATTTCTGCAACCATTTTGACCCATTTTCATAATTTGTTCTATAGACAAGAAAGTTCCACTAATTTGATAAAAAGATTCTTTAATATTTCTTCTCTCCATTTCTTATAACAAATCAGTTCTTTGATATTACATTTTTCATTTTAGTTATTCCATTAGCTCCAAAATACCCCTCTTCAATACTCTTCTAGGCAGTTATCTCTTATTATATTTTACAGTTTATGTGAAATGAAAAGAAAATGAGTCACATTAATGCCAATATCATTTACAAACAAGTTACCATGATTACAGTAAGTAGTTTGAATTCCACAGCATTAGCAAAGAGGCAGTAAGGGCTCATTTCAAAGAGGCTCTAAAATTGAAATGCTATTCTCAAAATCCTGGATATCTGGAAGTTACTACAACTAATTTTCAAATAAACATGAATTGGATCCAGCTGCAAATAAACATCTGAGGCCTCCAACCTATATAGTATTGCAAGAGTTTGTTTGGGTGTCACCATTTAATTTCTCATTGTGTTCAGAAAGAGTACGAAGAAAGAGCATTTATTTCCTTCCTTCCTTCCTTCCTTCCTTCCTTCCTTCCTTCCTTCTTCCCTTCCCCTCCCCTTTGAAACTAGTCCCTTGATTTAAGTTACAATAGTCCTATTTACTTACTTAAAAGAGTTAAATGGCTGCCAATTTTATATATCGTAACCCTGGACAGTTCAAAATGTAAAAAGCAAAGTGTAAAAGCAAACAGTAATATTAACAGAAACTAGATCTCATGGCACCCCCAAAAGAACATTCCCCATGTATCTACCGGTCAACGGTCTCACCCTAGGTCAATGTTGTGGGAAGATCCAATGCTTCATGGCCTTCTGGGAGCTTCTTCACTGATATATTTGACTGTGAAAAAGGGGCTGAGGATCACTCTGGCTTGCAAATGAGAAAATGAGCTTACCTATTTTCGGAGTATAAGATGCACCTACCCCCACCCCCCAAAAGAGGGTGAAAATCTGGGTGCGTCTTATACAATGAATACAGCATTTTTGCCCTCCCGAAGCCCTGCTCCCTTTGGAAAAATGGACGTGCCTAGGCTTTGGGAGGCCTGCAAAGTGTTCCTGGGGGTGGGGAGGGCAAAACGGGTAGTTTTTTGCCCATTTCCGCCCTCCCCAGCCCCCAGGAGTAATCTACCAAAGCATATGCACATTTTTTTTTGCAAAAAATGTGCCCGTTTTCATGAAAAATTGTTTTTGCTCATTTTTGCCTCTGCCCCCAGGAACAATTTGCAGGCCTCTCAAACTCTCTGCATGCCCTTTTTTCACAAAAATGAGGCATACAGAGGGTTTGGGAGGCCTGCAGAGTTCAAAAACTTTTTTTTTTTTCCTCTTCAAAATCTTGGTGCATCTCATACTCTGGTGAGTCTTTATAGTCCGAAAAATATGATAATTATCTCAGCCAATGACCTTGTGGATGTTAAAAATTCCATATAGCTCTAGCCTTGATTTGGACTAAAGTAGCCCTCCCCAGCCACCATCTTGTTTAAACTGCTTCCTGAGGGGCTAACTAACCCAACCACTTTGAATACTGCTTCTCTAGGATTATTATGTAGATCATCCTCTGAATTTCCATATGATTCCTTAGTTTATATTACTTGATTCTGATCTGAAGAGTTAGAACAACAAGCTATTCTTAATAAATTCCCATTATGTCATTGTTTCAGTGACCAGAATTCATTATTATCTCTCAAATTCCTCTCTATATTTTATGACCGAATAAAACACGGGAACCAAATATATCTTTTTCTTCTCTTCTGCTCTAGTTC